TACACCTGTTACTGGTTCGGTGCCTGTTGTGCTAAATGTGGTTAACTGTCAAGAGTACAAACCACCCATGAATTCCACCACTGACCCTGGTTGCAATCAATATGTTATAAATATAACCCCGAATGATGTGGGTGCTACCAGTCCTCCACCTGCATATGGTTATCTAAGTAATCCGGTTCCACAAACTAGTAAAAGTAGGTTTTAAAATGTCATTTTTAAGTAAGTTTGTGAGGTTGAAATATTTCATAAATATAACTTTAAATATTTCAGTAAATTTTACTGGAATATTTCACCTGAAAATAAATTTCAATAAATTTCACCCCACGTGACCCATTCAGAGGGGAAGTGGATTCAAATGTGTAAAATATACGAGTATCAAATATCAATTTTTTAAAAATTAATATAATTCTAAATAAAATTAATTAATACAACTTTTAAGAAAAATAAATTTCACCAAAATTTTAAACCTTATCTATAACTTATAAGTAATAATAATTTTAAATAATAAATAAATAAACTCTCTCTCTCTCTCTCTCTCTCTCTCTCCCTCCCTCCTAAATAATGTCTGTAATAAATTAATACAATACAATAACTGTTTAATTTATTTCAGAATATTTAAACATGAAACATTTAAATATTAAAAGTTTACCTGTAACTATATTATTAAATGAAATAGTTTAAGAATTAATAATTAATTAAAACAAAACTTATATTTTTCACGCACTTTATTGAAAATGCAGAAATTGTACACTATTATACTATTGTATTATATTATACTACAGTATTTAAATGATCGCAGGCAAAACTGCTAAATATTTCTATAATTAAATCATAAAAACTTATTAGAATTTAGATTATTTGCAAAAGATTCTCACGGAATTACATTTGTATAGTCAATATTTATGAAGTCATATAATTTGTCATAAAATTTCATAGTCACATAACATGTATTTCACTTATCGATTTGTTTTAAACAAATAGCTCAATCAAAAAGAAAATAATAATAATTTGATAAAATATTGAATAAGTAATAAAACAAATGTTTACATGAATGATACACAGTAAAAACTTTTATTTTATGAAAACAATATCCGCATTCTTAATGAGCACCGGATGTCTCATTCGGGTCACAAATATTCGTGTGATTTCGAGAAGTGTGGCAAACATTTTGGCAAAAAGTTTGCACTCATTGTTCACATGAGGTCTCACACAAGACAGCCTTTAGTTTGCGGTAACAATGACTGCGACTTTAAGACACTGTATCCCAAGTGTCTGGGGACTCATCGCTTGACTCATAAATCCGATGATAAACCCGAGTTTAATCTGAAGAAGTGGTTTTTGGACACACCGTCGGACGATGCGATTCCCGTCAAGAACTCTACTTCCGATAAATCAATGGAAAGGGAGCCCGACATCAGTTGCCATAAAGTGGCAAAAGTTAACGGACGGTATGTCTGCGACCACAAGGGATGTCTTAAATCCTATTCACTTCTGAAATATCTTGAAGATCACAAGAGGACTCATTCGGGTCACAGATATTCGTGTCATTACAAGAACTGTTCCAAAAGTTTTGTACACCAGATCTCACTTCAACTGCATATGAAATCGCATAGAAGTGGTGAACACTTTGTTTGTGGACACAGAGGCTGCGACTATAAGACATTACACCGCAAGCGTCTGGAAACTCATTGTTTGACTCATAATACGAAAGATAGTCTGGAGATTAATGTGAAGAACAGGCCTATTGGTAGCCAATCATCGATTATTGGATCACAAAAGTCGCGAAAACAGCAGTTTCTGTGCCAATGGTTTGGTTGCGGAAAGAGTTTCACAAATGAACTCCACTTAAGATTACATAAGAAATCGCATTCAGTTGTGAGCCACCGGTGCGATCGGGAGGGCTGTTCCGCTGTATTCTCGACCGCCGGACACCTTCGCCGACATCTGTCCGGACATCACCTGAAATACCGGTGCGAACACCGGGACTGTGGTTACGCCACAGCTATTGAGAGTCAGTTTGAATCGCATATAAGTAGCCATAACTTGAATGACAATCAGTCCCAACATTGGAGTCAAGAATTGGTCGAATCCTATAATAACGAGACAATTACCGGAAGTCTTGATGAAAATGAAGCCATTTCTCAAGAGACAGAAGAAATGGATAGAAATGATGCAAACATTAATAGCAATAATAAAAGCACCGTGGACACTATTTATCGGTGCTATTTGCCAGCATGTGGTGCAGTATTATTAAATAGAAAAGCGTTTTGTAGTCATATGCAGACACATAATGTTCAATAGGTCTCTCACTTTAAGACAATATACGCCAAGAGTTTTAAGGATCACCAAACAGTCCACACGGGTCTCAGGTTTTCGTGTAATTTCAAGAACATCGTTTAACTCATAGACTGCGGGATGAGTTTAATCTGTCCTCATATTTGGATACATCAAGTGTTGACGAAGATAATGAAAATAATAGCAATACTGAAACCACGGTTGATACTATCTACCGGTGCCATTGGCCTGGATGTGGAACAGTATCACTGGATAGAGACTTATTTTGTATTCATTTAGAAACCCATAATGTTCAATAACTCTCTCTCTCTCTCCCTTTCTTTCTCTCTCTCTCTTTCTCTCTCGATAAAATACAATTAAAATTATGTAAGAAATTATGTATTTTGAATTTAAAATTTATCAAATCAATTAAATATCATTTTATCCTTTTATTCTTAATAACATTTTTGTTTTATTAATAAATACATGATTTTAAAATTATTTTATATTTACTAATTTTTATTTGTTCTAATTCATAAGTTAACAGTATAATTTATAAGTTATAAATTATAACTCTTATAAATTATTGATATCAATTTAGTTCAAGCAAACTACTATTGTATATTAATTATGTATTAATTATTAATAATTTTAAAGCAAATAAATTAAATGACATTTCAATTAAATTATATCTTACATTATAAATGAACTTTAAATCTAACAAATGATTTCAATACTGAGTACATCCATATAAGATCATATACGATGCGATAAATAGCACCTGTATATTTTACATATTAACATGTGAATAAAAGTTTATCTAAAATACAATAAAATACTGTTAAAAAGCTCACTTCCAAAAATATCAATAGTTTAACATGATTATTTTCATAAGTGTTTACTTTAAAAAAATATTTGGTACCTTGTTTATACAACACACTATATGTAGCATAGCAAAATATTACGTTGAAAGTAACACTAAAAATATTTTAATATAATAAAACCATAAGCACAATTGAATTTTTTGTAGACAAATAATAATCTTATCAAACACAAAGGTAATTGCCTTGGGATCCCACGCCATACACTGTTTATCACTTCGTAACCTTAAAAATACATGTATTTTAAATGTTGTGTACCGTATTAAATACACAATTAAATACACAATTTTATACAATAGGAAATTTATATAAAACAATAGTGTTTACTATATTATAGTAATTCTGAACTAACTATAAGTGTTTACTAATAACATGTTTATGAAATGAATATCGATTTCATAATTGGTGTGAAATAGTGGTTAAAACTGCGACAAAATGTTGGATAAAGTGTTGGAGCGGACAGTGATGTGGAAGCGATGGACACTATTGGCGTTGTGTTGCATTGGCATCGCCTCCACTATCATCATATCGGGTGTGTCTCTGGCTATTGTCGATACCATCGATTCCGGTGACACTAATCACACCGAGGAGGCCGTTCACACCATGACAGTGGCCAAGGTATTCAACACTTGTTTTTAATCATTAAGTGCTAAATAGTTAATCATTGAGTTTATAGTTAGACAAGTAGGGTCATTCACTTAGGTTTAGAGTACAATACCAATACCTTTACAACTTAAGTTACTCAATTAAATCTCTCTCTCTCTCTCTTTCTCTCACTCTCACTCTCTCTCTCACTCTCTCTCTCACTCTCTCTCTCTCTCTCTCTCTCAATATTTAATTTACAAAAATTATTACAAAAACTAATCAAAAAAAACTATTTACTGAATCCAGAGTTCGGCGAAAATCATGATAATAGTGTCGACTGTCATCACAATACTGGTCGACATATTCGCCTTCTTCGGCGGTTATAAAAACAGCTATTATATGACACTCACTTACATCATACTAATGGTGCTCATAGGGTTGGGCAGTATATTGATTGGCTTCCGGACCGAGTGCTGGTACACCACTATATTCCACTTTCTCATACTGGGGTTGGCCTACGATTTGCGGCTCATCAAGAATAAGGCGTTCATTCACCACCACAAACAGCAACTAAAGGAACAGGAGCGTCATAAACATTGGCACAAATACGCCCCTGTGGTGGTGGTAACCTGTGGTCAGCCGTTAACACCAGGATCACCTCAATTTGATGGACACCTCGCCCATAACCAGCAGCAGCCATACACTATAAACATACAGCCGGCACATCCTGAACACCAGCAACAGTATTATGCTGTCGGTCACAGTTCGGACCTCTGGGATATGACCAGGCCACGGGTATCTGAAAACCTACCCCCGTATCCGTATTTAAATGACCAAGACTCTAAGATTATGACTAAAAAGATGCCATAATTTTTTTGAGACAATTATTAAATTGCTGTAAAATATATAACAGAATATTCTCTCTCACACCACATTAATCTAAAAAATAATGTATAACTAATCTAAAAATCTAAACTTGTATTTTTCTCATGTAATACAATATTTTAATTGCGAGACAATACAACATATAAAAATGTAATTATACTTTATTGTAAAATAGTTCACAAACAATATTCAATTAAAAGTTACTACTGCGTTTATATTTATATCGTTAGTATATAATCACTGTTAATCAGTATTATTATTATTAATATTGATATATTTTAATAGTATTCCACTGGTGAAGTTAATCACAAACTGACATATTCTTGATAAAACCCTATTCTATATCTACTGTTATTAGTACTGTATTTACTAATTATATATAAAAATTATTTATTTATTTCAAATACTGTAAATATAAAAGCTACCATAACTTGTAATTTCAAGTTACAGGTATTAACAATTTTAACTGGTATAAAAGTTACATTTAAACTAGAATATTCTGGTAATGTGCAATACAACTATAGTAATGATACAATATAGTATACCCTACAATTAAAGCATTATCTAATGCTGATTTATTAAAATAGTGCATTTATAGTGTGTATTTCCCAATAATTTTTAATAACAAGTTGATTACAAATGTTCCCATACCTGGTGCTACAAATCAAATCTCCCAATTTGAGTTATTTGTAAATTGAAAGTTTTTTCATTATTTAAGTATACTTGTAAGCAATATAAACCTTAATTCAAGAACAATCCAAAGTATGTGATTAATTTACAGCATCACTACTTGAATAATCACAATATAATAAGGGCTTTATTAAGTAGTTGATAAAAATCTTTTAACTATAATAAAAGCATGTAATATAAAAAGCATAGTATTAATTTAAGTTTTATTATTCATTAAGATGAGCTGTCACATTGGACAGGCATGTGGATTATAAGAACAATACAGTAGATATCATTTTTAATGACAATTGATTTATTAATTACACTGATGAATGCAAAAATACATATCTTAAACATTATCACATTTTCATTGTTTGGATGCAAAAAAGTACAATACATTAAAATCACAAAAAATTAAAGTTGTATTTAGTATTAAGTTAATATAATTGGAGTGCATTTTTAGGATTTATACCATTTATTGTTTTGTGAATTAAAATCATAAGTAAAACAAATAAATCACACGAAAGACAAAATGCTTGAAAAGATTTTAGAGAAAACCGTATTCTGGAAGAGATGTTCGCTATNGTTTTGTGAATTAAAATCATAAGTAAAACAAACGAAAGACAAAATGCTTGAAAAGATTTTAGAGAAAACCGTATTCTGGAAGAGATGTTCGCTATTATGTCTTTGTCTGATAGGCATGACCTCCACTATTATCATCTCATATGTGGCTAAACAAGTGGTCGATGAACTGGATGTCGGCGATGATACTAACTATACTGATTCAGTCAGGGAGGCTACAATGACTGCCAAGGTAACTCATTAATCTTAATTACGGTATTAATAATTAACTCTCTCTCTCTCTCTCTTTCTCTCTCTCTCTCTCTCTCTCTCACTCTCACTCACTCATTCATTCATTCACTCAATAAAATGTATTAAAAACTAAAAACTAATTTTTAAAATTTAAAACCTATGATAGGATTCAGCGAAAAACATGATAACCGGATCGACAGTAATAATAGTAATAGTAGACCTGGTTATATTCATCGGGGGTGTGGCACAGACTTACAAAATGACATTAACATACCTAATGTTAACCATATTTATAATGGTGGGAAGTCTCATAATTGGTTTCCGTACAAAGTGCTGGTACGCAACTGTATTACAATTCCTGGTGCTGGGGTTGGCCTACGATTTACGAGTGATTCGCAATAAAATGTTTGTCAAACAGGAAAATGAAAATGTAGGTCAAACTGAGCAGGGTGGTGTTACTATTACACCTGTTACCGGTCCGGTGCCTGTTGTGCTAAATGTGGTCAACTGTCAAGAGCACAAATTACCTATGAATTCCGCCACTGACCCTGGTTGTAATCAGTATGTTATAAATATTCCACCGAATGATGTGGGTGCTACTAGTACTCCACCAACATATGATTTTCTAAGTAAACCGGTTCCACAAACTAGTAAAAGTAGATTTTAAAATGTCATTTTAAATATCAGTAATGATGATTTTTAAATAGTTTTAAATAAAAAATAAACTCTCTCTCTCTCTCTCCCCTAAATTATGACTATAATAAATTAATGCATTACAATAAATGTTTAAAACTTATTTCAGAATATTTAAAAATGATATTAAAAGTTTACCTGTAACTATAAATAAAATAGTTTAGTAGTTAATACTGTAATTAATCAAAATACATATGTTTTCACTCAGTTTATTGAAAATGCAGAAATTTGTATAATTGGTTAAATAGTTATTTATTTTTCTAAACTTATAGGCAAANTTGGTTAAATAGTTATTTATTTTTCTAAACTTATAGGCAAAATCTCTTTATAATTGAATATAATGACAAAATATTAGCTTTGCTGTTATTTATGAAATTTGACAAATAATTAATTAGTATTGTATTTGCTATTACAGTATATATAAAAATTATTTATTTATTTCACATATATATATATATATATATAATTTACTACCATAACATGTAAATTTAGATTATTAAACATTTTAACTGGTACATTAAATTTAAACTATAAAATTCTGTATATGTATAATACAACTAATCATATATCGTATAATTATTGTAATTTCTAATGCTGAGTTATTTAGATACTGTTATTTATGTAGTGTGTATTTCCCAATAATTTTGAGTAATAAAATGATATCGGTTACAAATGTTCCCATATCAGGTGCTTGAAAATCAAACTTGCTTATTTAAGTTATTGGTAAATTGATAGTTTTTTCATTACTTACGTATATTTTACTAGTAAATAAAAACTATTAAATCAAGAAATAATCCAAACTATGTGGGTAATTTACAGCCCCAGATATACTTGTTATACAATACAGTATACTCCATTAATCCCAATATAATAAAGGATTTATTAAGTACTAGATAAAAATCTCTTAACTAAGTTATACTAAAATCATGTATTATTATATTAAATGTGAAATAGCCTAGTATTATAGTAGAATTTGAGTTTTATTATTCATTATAATGAGCTGTTACATGGGACAGGGATGTGGGTTATAAGAACAATGAAGTAGATATAATTTTACATGACAATTGATTTATTTATTACACTGATGAATGCGAAAATATATAACTTTATCACATTTTCATTGTTTTGATGCAAAAAGTCCAATTTAAGTACATTAAGATCACAAAAAGATAAAGTTTTGTAAATTAATATAATTGTAGCGCATTTTTAGGATTTATACCATTTATTGTTTTGTGAATTAAAATCATAAGTAAAACAAATAAATCACACGAAAGACAAAATGCTTGAAAAGATTTTAGAGAAAACCGTATTCTGGAAGAGATGTTCGCTATTATGTCTTTGTCTGATAGGCATGTCCTCTACTATTATCATCTCATATTTGGCTAAACAAGTGGTCGATGAACTGGATGTCGGCGATGATACTAACTATACTGATTCAGTCAGGGAGGCAACCATGACAGCCAAGGTAACTCATTAATCTTAATTATTAATAATTCTCTCTCTCTCACTCACTCACTCACTCACTCTCTCTCTCTCTCTCTCTCTCTCTCTTTCATTCATTCATTCACTCATTCACTCATTCACTCAATAAAATGAATTAAAAACTAAAAAGTAATTTATAAAATCCAAAACTTATGATAGGATTCAGCGAAACACATGATAACCGGATCGACAGTAATAATAGTGATCATAGACCTGGTTGT